TTCCTGGTAGTCTAGGTCTCTTGGATCTATACAAAGGAGGGGGGCAGATGAAATATGGAGCCGTCACAGGTTCAATTTCCCATACTGAGACCCTACTTTGCCTTTCCTCAGCAATTGATTCATCCCAGCCAACCTGAACATATATGCATAACTCGTATATGGCTTTTATAAAGCTAAAAACGGGTAGAGGCATTTAAAATAAAAGTACAAGCAATCCAAGGTTCATCTACTTGTGGATGGTAAATTTTATCACATTGAATTGCTAAAAGATGACATAAATTGTACCTGCAAATTCCGCCATAGCGAATTTTTCCATCTCACAGAATCTAGATCACTGACACCTATTATTGTACCCATATGTCTGCAATACAATTGAATGTAATATTCCTTATAAAAATTATTTCCAAGATAACCTCAACTTCCAGAAAATCATCTCAACAATACTATATCAACATGTCCATTCTAAGTAAATTTAATGAAGAAATCAAGTATTGTTTCAGACAGAAACAAACTTGCAAGCTAAACTATTTCCGTCTTCCATTTATAACATTCAACCACCCAGTTTTCTTCATCAATACATTATTTTCAACTTAGCATCTACAGTGCACAAATATGGTACATGGTCTCAAATTGAGTACCTTCTTGTTCCCGAGTCTTCAGTTTCAAACATCATTCGGAAGCGCATACCAGATGATATATGGTGGCTATACACTGCCTTGTAGTACTTGGCTAAAGGAATAACAAATTCTGAGGGACTAGCCCTGTATGCAAAGGAATGGATTTGAGTATAAAAAAAATTAGAACTGAGCATTCAGGTTCATATGCTATTGCAATCTCATTTGACAGACAGGAAAGAAAACTGATAGTCAAATAAATTACTCATAAGTACTGCTATAATAAAGTAATCAAAGATATTGACCTCGGATTATAGAACACGGTGAAGGGACTATGGTTTGCAACAGCATGAGCAGCTGCAGCCAGAACTCCAATGTGCATACTATCACTTGATAGTACTGAAGATGATAAATTGGAGGGTTGCCTGTTAGCTCGTCTGATACCCAAAAGAAGCTGCTGCTTTTCATCTCTGACCAGAAACATCAGAAATCAGGAAATCTAGTAAATGGTGAAGTTTGATTTCAGTACATCAACATAATGTAATATAACTTCGTAAACCATGAACTCCGACACCTATAAAAGGTAAGCATAACAAGTCTTACCTTACAAACAAAACAGAGTCTCCAGCCAAAAGCCTTTTTCGACTGATAAATAGACTCCATCCAGTAGTAAGCAAGTGACGTTTTGGTTGTCCTAGTAGGCAAAAGATTTTGAGAAGAAGGCTTGACAATGGGTCAACAAATTACAGCCAGAATAAGCACATAACAGTACAACAGTTTCAACTAACAAATTGATTTATGTAAACATACCACGAAATATATGGCGAAATCTCCAAGTATTATCATGCAAATCCCTGGCCACGAGGTCTTGAGCAGGAGGTTGTACAGAGTAATCCTATATATAGAAGAAAAAAAAAAAGAAAAAAAAAAGGAACTAGATCAAACTCTCACTCCGTACATGAAGAACTAAAATAGGAAACATCGCCTACAAGAGGGGGAAAAATCTTCTCAGCAGCACGGCGGGGTACAGAGAAACCTCCATGAGTACTCGTATCACTTGCCGTCAGTTGTTTACAGAAAAACTCAGGTTGTGACTTACTGGACCGGAGAGAAATATCTGATCTTAACAACGCATCGGTGTCGAACTACAAACATAACATCAACAAATTAGATGAAATTGGAAACATTGTGTAGGGACATGCAGAAGTATGTTCTCCAAATTTCTAGCAAAAGTTAAAAAGATTTTTTCCAACATCGAATCTTTTCGCAATTAGGATACAATAGAGCTATACTTGTACACCACATTGCAATTCAATGTCTTGCATGTAGTACTGTACAGTTTTAAATAGTGTTATAAAACACTCCACTCCAAAAGTACTTACAGAAGTTACAGGCTGAAGTGTCATCTGAGCATATACTTCATCTGTGTCTTGATCTGCCTGGGAAAAGAAAGACGAAAAAATGCAAAAAATTAGAAAGAAAAATGGTGTGAAGCAAACATTTATAGGCAGAAATTTCCGCATACATGCAATTTGACATTGTGCAGAAGACACGGTATCTTGGAGGGGAGATTGGTGTAGTTCGGGACTTGAGCATCCACGTTTTTCTTCAAAGACGCTGCCACCTGAAACAAGGAGTCAAAATGAATGGTTATAGTTCGCAACGACAACAAAAAAAAACTTAAAATAGAAGGTGAATGAGAAGTAAACGACGTGAATTGAGGTGAAGTAAAGGACCTGTTCACTGTGGCCTTGAGGGAAGTAAACGACGTGAGTTCCAGGCGAAGGCAGGCTGAGAAGCGGTCCGGCACAAGCATGCCATAGCTCCGAGTTTATGCTTCTCTCTCCTCCTAAACAAACTCATAATTCATTTTAAGAAGAGAACAAAAACAAAGTTATAAACGAAAAGATAGAGAGAGAGAAAGGTAACCTTCGCCAACGCTGGATGCGGCGGCGACGGCGGCACCGTCTGGAGGCGTATTCATTGCTGCGGTCAGCACGGAATTAGTTGGCGCGGTTGTTTATCTTACCGGCGGGGACGATTGTCATCGGAATTTGCGAGAATAAGGAATGAATAAAAAGTGAAAAAGCAAAGGAAGTAAAATATTAGAAAGGGTAGGGAATCGGAATGGATAGTGAAGTCAAATCAAGGAATTGAGGGTTCGGACATTTTGGTTACTCTGCTACGAGTCAAGGGTGATGCTGTTTCAACTTTCAACTCTTTCTTCTTGTTGTTCGAGAGAGGAAGACGGTTGACAACTGTTCTTTTTTTTTTTTTTTTTAAAGTATGGTTTCGAGGACTATCCCTGTCGTTAATTATTAATAATATTCCCTACATCATCTCCCAACCAACTCCATCTCAGAATGAATTAAGGTTTTCAACCATGGGGATGAGGTCCAATTTATGGTAACGTGCACATTACGGGAAAGGATCCTCTCCGTGAACTTTAGATTGAATTGTAATAAATGACTTCAAGGCCCGGATTTAAGTCACCACATGTAAACACTGCCACGGTTTTTTTGTATACTTAGTTAATTTACACTTACACTGCAGGGTGATTTTTTTTTTTTTTAATTAGAAAAATTATAAAGATGATTATAATGAAGATTGAACTTAAGTCTTCATGTTTCTAGCTATCCTAACCCTTCCCCGTCTAAGGCTAATCGTAGTAGTCAGTGTATGAATAATTAACTCAATTTACACATTTCATTATTTTTTTATTTCTTTCTCTTTTTATTACATCATGTTATTTATACCGCATTTACATTTTTCTTTCTTCTATCTATTTGTCTCTCTAAGGCTTTGTTTGGATTTGAAGATGGAAAAGGGAGAGTGGAAAATTAAAGATTTGAAGGGAAAGTGAATGGAAAGTGAGGTTGTTTGGATTAAGGGAAAGTGAGTGAAAAGTGTAGAGAAAGTTTGTGAGTGAATTGATTGATGTGATAGATAAAAATAAATTTTTTAATTGATAATTGTGTAAGATTACTATTTTACCCTTAAGTTAAAAAAATTTATAATTATTATAATTAAAAAATAAATATATAAATTTTAATTAAAAAATTAAAAAATATTAAAAATAATTTAATTTAAATATTTACTTTAAATTTAATGATAGATAAAAATTAAAAATTTAATAAATAAATATGATTTATA